ATATATATATAAATGTATGACTGAAAGTATATAAATTATTATTTTTAATATGTGTATATTAAAGCATTCTCCTCCACATACCAATGGATGCATATTGTTGTATCGCGTAATGTAATAGATATTTTTAAGGGAGATATTTCCATTTTAAGTTCAGATCTGCCTTAAGTATTTTCTCAACTGTACATATTATTAATAACGCGAGTATAATTTTAAAATAAACATAAATTTATTTATTTCGTACGAGTAATGCTCTGATGCATAACTACATTTTATCTCATTGTAAAAAAAAATATAAAAAAAAACAAGAAAACGAATTAAAAATGTATTATCAATAAAAAAATATGATTTACAGAATGTTGATTTTTACATCGAAGAAGATCTCGTCTTTTGTATCTTTTATTATTTTTAAAACCATTTTTAGAATCATTATTTCATGAATCAATTTATTATTCGATTAACAATATTAATTATAGATTGTAAAGTGAAAATATTGAATTGTTGAAAAACAGTTTATAAATTCATCAAATTTTGTTTTAACATTTTGTTTTTATTCTAAAAAAAAAAAAAAGAAAAAAAACTAAAATGTAATTTTTACAATTCCTTAATTGTACACAGAAATAATGTTTATTTAAAAATGTACAATTTCTATATTTCTACTTTAATATGACAAATATATAATAAAAATATTTTGAAATAGATAAACAAGTTTATCTTTCACCTCAGATTTTTCTAAAATTGTGTAGAATTGACGACGAAATTGCCATTGAATATTTTCTTTTTTTTTTTTTTTTTATTCAACAATTTTTTAATTGAAAACTTCAAATACACATCCAGAGTTATATTCAAAAATAAATATCAATTTTACGATCGGCAAGATCATCGTGTAAAATGATTAATGTACATTAGCCAAGTTAATTGATTAATTTTACAATTTGAATTTGTATAAAGAGTTCACATTTACTCAAATAATATTTTTATTTTTGTAGATGAAAAAAAAAAAGAAAGATTTTATTTGTCCCACAGTCCAATTTCTTTCATTCTAGTTTGAAAATATTTTTCAAGAGCGTTAGCGCACCTGTAATATTCGGTGTCAGGGCTATTGTACAAGCGACAGTTTGTAAAAATTCGTGTCATGTCGGCTATAAATAATCTTCTAGTTACATAGTATCTAGCTTTTAAACGATCTGTCATGCTCTTAAGATCTGAAATGATACATAAACGATAAAATATTTTGTTTACCGTTAAATTAGAAAATATAGAAATAATTAAACATGGTACATACCCATTGGATATTTTATGTGATCGTAATAATCAGGTACATCATTTTTATCTACTGGCTTTAAAAATGGCCAAGCTGCGCTATGATTTTTCACACTATTTAAGACATTTTTTAGCGCAGTGTACAAAGAATCCGTAATATCTAAACACGCTTCCATTGGTTCTGGTCCTTGAGTTCCTTTAGCTACACCTCTCGTTCTAGTTTGAGCATAACTTTTCCATCCAGTTTCACGTATTCCAGGTATAGATTCAACCGGTATACCTCTGACACCTTCTTTAAAGCACGTTAAACCTGGATGAATTTTTTGAATTTCTTCTTGCTTTTGTTGAATCAATTGTTTAATTATCTCTCTCTGTTTTCTTATAACCGCTGTAAATTCTGTATATACAATTTTAGCATTTAACTCGCAGTGCATCAACGTAGCACCTTCATAATCTTTAATATATCCTTGATGCATCGCACGTGGTAACTTTATGTCTTTGCTAAAGCCTTGCTTTTTAAAATAACCAATTGCAAATTCATCCGCAAATGTTAAGAAATGTAATATATTATTTTTTATATGATAATCCTTAAGCATATTCATTAGATGTGTACCATATCCTTTTACTTGTTCTTGACTCGTTACTGCACAAAATACTATTTCTGTAAAACCTTGAGTTGGAAACATGCGGAAACATATACCACCAATAGGACGTCCATCTTTGATTAATGCTAAAGTTTTATGTTTCCTAGACACATAAATACAAATATTAGGTTTCAAATTATTTTCTTTTTTTAATTTAATTACTATTAAATTATTATTACTACTGTATAATTTAATATTACTTAATTCTAATACTTACGGATCAAAAACTAATTGAGATATGTATTCTTTTGGCATTCTAGGTAGCTGATGGCTAAAAACATTATGTAAACCGATTAACCAAAGCATCGTTTGTTTTGAAACTGGTTGCGTTAAACTATTTCCTACAACATGAAATTCAATTATTTTTCTACTCTCTTCTATCTTTGCAGTCTCGTCTCGTGCTGTATTTGGCGGAAATACAGCATCGGGTCCACTCATGTAATTAGGATCATTGATAGTCGCAACTATTTCCGCAACAGTTTCGTCAGCAAGATCTTCAAAATATTCTTCGTTTTTTCTTCTTTTTGTATCTAATCGACTCTCAGAATGTGATCTTTTATCATGAAGTCTTTTTATCCCTGGACTTATGTTTATCGTTGTAAAATTGTCTTTGTCATTTGGAACAACCGTAACCTTTTCAAATTCACCTGTTCTCCTTCCTTGATTTCCTTTTTGGTCTAAATTAACTTGTAAATGTGAAGGTGGTACTTGTTTAAATTCAGGATCCCAAATTGGAGAATTGTCTGAATAAATTTCTACTTCCAACATTGAAAGAAATCTATATATAA